CTAGGTAGTGTTAATAACTTAGCTAATACTAGGCAGAATTAGCTAATTCTTTTTTTATTAGAAGGCGCAATACTAGGCGCTTCTATCGAATAATAGATTATGTAAGCGTATCTCTGCTAGTTAAGAAGCTATAAGCCAAAACGTAAAAAAGCATAACGTACTCCACAAGCGAGTGACCGGCACAAGCGAGTGACCGGGTTTTGCCAAGACCACACCAAACTTCACTCTGCCTATTATACCTTAACAAAATAATATAAAGAGGCTGTTAAATGAAGCAGACATACAGCTTGCTCTCTAGGCTATCTAACAAGACGCGAATCTTACTGTGCTAAGCGCTGCAGCTATCTATAAGGTGTTAGAAAGCACCCTACAACAACAACGCGACAGAAAGCTCTCTTAACGCGATTGCAAGCCCAACATGATAAGGATGACTAGTACTGAAGAGGAGGTAATTGTCCAGCATGTATTAACGCTAGACGAGCAAGGATACTCGCCCCAGCTTGCTAATGTGGAGGATATGGCCAATTCTCTACTTGCTGAGCGCCACTAGCCCCACGTTAGCAAGAACTAGGCTGCCAACTTTGTTAAACATTAGCTAGAGCTTAAAGTTAAATTTAATTGCAAGTACAACTATAAGAGAGCTCTATGTAAGGACCCTAAGGTAATTAGGGACTAGTTCTAACTAGTAGAGAATACTAAAGCTAAGTATAGTATACAAGATAAAGACACCTACAACTTTAACAAGTCTAGCTTTATAATAGGCGTTATATTAATAGGAGCTGTTGTTACAGGCTCTAAGCATTGAGGGAGACTAAAGGCAGTGCAGCAGGGTGACTAAGAGTGGACTAGCATTATCTAAGGCATCTGCGCGAAGGGCTGGTCTATCCCACCCTTCATTATCTTCTCTAGTAAGCACTACCTCTCTGCCTAGTACAAGGAGCCTAGTATACCTAACAACTAGGTTCTTAATATCTCTAACAATAGCTAGACTAATAATAAGCTTAGAGTTAAGTAGTTGAAGCACTTTAATAAGCACATAAAGGCGCGCACTGTTGGCAGCTATTGGCTGCTCATTCTGGACGGCCACGAGAGCCACAACTTAGTCGAATTCCACCAGTACTGCAAGGAACACAAGATTATTACCCTGTGTATGCCTCCATACTCGTTGCACCTACTGCAGCTACTTGACGTGGGCTGTTTTTCTCTGTTGAAGAAGGCCTATGACCGCTAAGCTAAGCGGCTGGTGCGTAGCAAGATCACGCGTATTACTAAACTTGAGTTCTTGCCATGCTTCAAAGCGGCTTTTGACGCCTCAATTACAGAGAGTAACATCTAGGGAGGATTTAGAGGTGCTGGCCTAGTCCTATTTAACCTAGAAGCTGTGATATTAAAGCTTGAAGTATAACTACACACGCTAACGCCACCTACTGTAGACAACAGTACGTAGGAGTCTAAAACACTAAGCAATATGCTAGAATTTAGGTCTTAATTAAAGCTAATTTGAGAGAGGATTTAGAGACACGCTAATAGCTCACCAATGTCTATAGTTAACGCTCTTAATTAGCTCACTAAAGGCGCAGAGCTGATGGCGCATTCACTAGTTTTAGTGCGCAACTAGGTCGCTGACCTACAGGCAGCTAACAAGGCCACTACACGTCGTAAATCACACAAAAGGAAGCAATTACAGCGAGAGGGGACTCTAACCTTTGCTAAGGGAGTGCAGCTAACTACTCTAAAGGAGTTTAAGGCCTGTAGTGATAGGAAGAAGGCAAAGAAGAGGTCGCACGTTAATGGGAGCACTTAGTCTCTAAGGCGCTGTGGCACATGTAGCGAGACAGGGCACAACGCGCGAACATGTAGTAAAGATGCGCAGAGTACTATAGACTAGTTCTATATACTGTATAGTATAATATATTGTTGTTGTGTACTGTAATGTTGCAAAGTAGGTACAGTGTTGGTGTAGTCTTGGCAAAACCCGGTCACTCGCTTGTGCCGGTCACTCGCTTGTGGAGTACGTTACCCTACCCATCCGCCAGCCTACTCCTCTAGCAGAAGAACTTTACTGCAACACTAAAAGCACTAGGTTTCTAGACTATGCCTTACAAACCCTGCTGCCTAACTAAGGGTAGCATTATTATCTTCTTTTATATTAATAATATTATCCTTAACGTACCCCACGGGCGAGTTGGACACACGGGCGAGTCGGACACTTTTGCCAAGACCCTACTAAACCTCACCCTATTATAGCCTAAAACACCACACTCTAGCGCTGCAAGGTGCAGTACAGCTTAGAATATTATTTAGAGACTACTTCTGTATTATTCTTGCACGTTTGCGCGTTATGCCTAGTCTAATTGCACTGTCCTGTAGTAGTCTGGCCAAAGGCCAATAAAGGATATCTACTTCCTAACAACTTTTGCTAAAAAGCATGCACAAGTTAACTAGACGCCTAGTTAACTGCGTAGATAATATATATCCAGCTTAAGCCAAGCCGGCTAAGCTAATGTAACTGGCTAGCTCTAGCTCTTCTTTAGCTTTAGAGTCTAGACCGTTACATGTCCACAGAGTTGTTAGGAGGGCTCACCTACTTTAGCGCGCACCTGCTTCTTTAACTTCTTTCTATCACTACATGCCCTAAACTCCTTTAGAGCTGCTATCTGCTGCCCTTCCTTAACTGTAAGGGTCCCTTCCTTCTAGATTCGCTTTCTTTTGCGCGATTTACGTTCTGTGGCAGCTGCTAGAGCTGCGTGAAGCTCAGCGTTCTCCTGTTGCGCTAAAACTAGCTTGTGCGATAGAATCGCTCCCCCCTTTGCGTAGTGCTCAAGCGCGCTCAGCACAGAATTGGGTGAGCTACCCTGCTGCTTCTTATACTTCTCTTAAATTAGAGTTAATTACAACTAAAGTTCTAGGGTATTGCTAGGGGTTTACAACTACTAGAGCTTATTATTATTAGGGAGTTATAGTAATAGAGTGTGTAG